GCCTCTGCCTTACCCTCCTCCTTTGAGCTTCTTTTTCTTTGGTGTATCTTCTTCAGAAGTTCTCCTGCCTCGACCACGAGAGCTTCTTTTGTCTTTCTGACTTCGTCCCTCTAGAAAGGAAAAACAACTCCATCATTTCAGCCTGAGTGGCAGAAACATCCCCAGCTGTTGTTCTTTTAATGCAGTTATTGTCTTGAAATCCCTATTTCATATGTAATTGAGTAATCCTTATTGTATATGTAATTTAATATGCTGACTGAAATGCATTTTTAAGCCACAAATACACCAAATTGGTAACAACTGAGCACCAAACTCTTGTGTTTGCAGTTTTGGCAATAAAACACTGCAGTGTATCAGCACAGGTCATAAACAGTATTACACTGGATTAGACATGCAATCTCAGTATATTTTTACACACAGTTAATAGATTACTCAATAACTAAGCTAATTTATTTCCACCTCCTTGCTCCTATCCCTTATTTCATTGTGCAAAGGAGTAACACTGTGCTGTGCTGCTGCATCCACATTCAACTGTCACTATAATCACACAATATTTCAGTATACACCACAGAAACTGGTATCTTCTTTAAATTCCTAATTTTTCTCAAAACTAAGACTGTTACACCAATGCAGTTTTGGCACAGCACCTTCATTAGAACCAGTAACAACCTCAGGATGATCCCAGCACCACATTTCTCTTCATCTCTTGCCCACTGTAAACATTTTGAAGAGCATTAAAAAAAACAAGAAGAGAGCGGCACACTTCTTTCCTTCCTCCAGAGATATTTTACACCTCAGCCTTCCTGGTTTGATACTCTAAATGCTGGAAAAGGCTCTCAGTTGTTTAAAATGTACTCACTTTTCAGGCTTCGGGATCCAGGGGTTTCAAAGTCGCTGCCTTCCAGTTTATCTTTGAGATCAGCTTCAAACCGCGCCAAGTCTGCATCCAGCCGGCGGATGTGCTTATCCACCTGCACCAAGAGGAAACCACAAACTGAATTACAAAGAAACACACACACACACAAAAAAAGAGCCCCAAACGAAAACAGGAAGGGCTAAAACTTGGCTGTTATTGGCATGAACAGAGCGTGGTACTGCAGAGCAAGGCACTGAAGGGGTACAGGCTGGGGAAAGGGAAATGGCGCACACACACACAAAAAGGGAATGAGGGAGGGAAAAGCACAAGGAAGGAAAAGGGAGGCAACATAAAGGGGAGTCAAAACAACTCAGACTAACGATTTTCAGACCAGAACAAGATGAGAGATACTAAAAATAACTGGTTTGTCCCTGCAATTTTCAAAATTCAAAGATAGTCCTCCAAATGTGTGGAGTACAGCAGCTAGGATTTTTCCCCTGGTACTCCACTGTCATATGAATCAAAAAAGTTTGACAATAAACACAGACAGAGGCTGACTATCCTCAGTATCAAGTCAACACACATTAATTAAAGTACCTTCTACTACCCTGGATGTAATAAAGTGACTTTCAGAACAGAGATTTTAACCCATCACCGTTAAACTGTGCTGCTGCAATACTTCGACATTAAATGAGTTCACTAGTTATCTAGGGCATTGATATTCCTGGGACATAATTTCCTTTTTTTGTAGTATTTGATGGCAATCAAACATCTACTGCAGCTGTAGCAAAACCCAAAGCATCTTTGCAAGCTGGACAACAAACACTTTACAGTCAAAAGGATTCCCCTCATTCAACTTTCATCCAGGGGGTAAAACACGTGGAGTTAAGAATTATTCAAGGGACAGGGACAGAAGAAAAAAAAAGTGGAAAGCTGCATCTTAAGAAATGGGATTTTCTCCCAAGGTCCACCGAGGAAATTTTGATGTCCAACAAACCAACGCAATTGAGCAGAATTTCTGCTGTTCTTCCACAACACAGTACAGCAGCTGGCTTAAAAAAAAAATTTGTATTCAACTAAGTGTGCCCCAAATAAATTATCAGTGACAGAGAGCTGCTGGGGAGGAGGGAGTGGGGTAGATTTGCTGGCATTATCACACAGCATAAGAGTACTACTGATAAAGCCACCTCCAAAGGGGAAAAACTCACTAATTCTTCAGCAAAAGAGAAACCTGCCAAAGAAGAAAGCTTTTTGGGGATGGCAACAGTGAGAAACATAAGCTTTAATTTGTTTTGGTAAGAAAATAAAGCAAAAAAAAAAAAAAAGTCAGGGAAAGCTGACAATGTGAAGCATCTCCACAGGCACCATTCCAGGGGATTCCCATTTTTCTATGGCTCACCATCTCATAGGTCTGCATGGCCAGCTGCACTTTGTCATCACTGTACTCTTTACACTTGCTGTAGGCACTCTGGATCTTCCTCAGGTGCTCCACTCTCTCCTCAGGTAACATGTTTTTCACAGACTCAATGTATGCTGCTGCCAGGCTGTCAATCTCTGCTTTCTTGTCTGAAAAAAAAAACAACCCAGGTATTTTTGATTTTCTATTTCCATTTAGGAGACCCTTCCTGACAGCTGTTACGCTCCCCTCAATTCCTTAATGCATTTTCCTTTTTAAAAACAAAACTAGTTTAGTTAAAGGTGTTCACTCTTTGACACCTGTGGTGTGATTCTGCTTTCTTGAGTGTTCTATAGCTAATTCAGAAGTTAATTTACAGTTAATTCACAGTCAAGATCAGAAACTGAACCCATGTGTTCACAAGTTTCAGCCTCTCTTCTGACATGCAGAACATTTTACTTGTTGCAGTCACTTACTGTTCTAATGATTCAAAATGAAAATAATTAATGTGCAGCCAGATACCAACAAAAACTTTAAAAAGGAAAAAAAATCGTCCTGCAAGGCACAGAGGAATCTAGAACTTGTTAAATACACAAATATGTGGCAGGAAGGCTATCCAAGTGGCCACTGAGTACAGTGATCACAGAACTATAAATTTAGACTAGAAACAAAATCAAGCCATGCGATGTGAGCTGTATCCTCACAGGAAAGAAACAAACAGTGCACTCAGGCTGAGAGAAGGAACAGCAGTAGAGGGGAGACACCTCCTCTAAAGCCCAGCCTCCACTGGGCTCTTCCCATCCCTCAGGCCAGGCTGTCTCGGCCTTTGCTTGCCGAAATACCTGCACGTACCTTCTGTTCTCTGATCCAGCTCCCGCATCAGCTGGAAATTCCTCTGCAGCTCGCAGGGTAGGTTCTCAATACCTGCAAGAGAAATGCTACTAAATGCTCTGAGCAACCTTGTCAACGGCAGGCGTCCCTGCCCATGGCAGAGGCTGGAACGAGGTAAGTTTAAAGGTCCTTCCCCATCCTGTGAGTCACGTACCGTGAGCCGCTCGCTCACCTCAGCAGCCCTTGAGCACCTGTCTGGGTACTGGGCTCTGGGCCAGGACCAGCGGCACGGCCGAAGGGGGAGCGGGACCCCCTCGCTGCTGACCACCACAGCCGCCATGGCATCACTCTCCCGCTCCCCGGCGCGTACCGGTGACGCTACCTGTCGCCTGCTGATGACGCAATCACAGTGCCGCCCCCCCCCACCCCCCCGCGCTGCCCGTGGCGCAGTTTTAATTCCCGCGCTGCCGCCACCGCCGCCGCCCCCGCCCCAATCCCACCGTCCCGGCCCTCGCCCCGGCCCCTCCGCCGCCCGCGCCCCGCGCTCACTGTCCAGGTAGTGCTCCAGGTACATGGCAGTCGCCATCTTGCGGGCCTCGCGCCGCTCCCCGCCGCCCGCCGGGCCCGCATGACAAGGCCCGCAGCCTCATCCCGTATTCACGGCCCGCGCGCCGCCCATTGGCCGCCGGGGCCGCTCCTGCTGCATATTCATGAGGGGCGGGGCGGGGCGCGCGGGGATTGGCGGGCGCGGCGGAAGGGGCGGGGCCGGGCGGCGCGGCCCTGTGGGCGCACGCGGCCATGGCGGCGCGGCGCGGAGCGCTGATCGCGCTGGAGGGCGTGGACCGAGCCGGGAAGAGCACGCAGTGCCGCCGGCTCGTGGAGGCCCTCCGGGAGGCCGGGCACCGCGCCGACCTCCTCCGCTTCCCGGGTACGGCGCGGCTGGGGTGAGCCCTGGGGAGGGGGCGGGGTGCCACACGTCCGGGGGTTCTGGCGGCGCATCTCAACTCTGGGCTTGAGCCCCACGCTTGGACAGAGGGACCGCCCCCAGCCCTGACCGGTAGAGCCCTCCCACCCGTGACAGATGGACCTTCCCCCCCGCCCGGACAGAGCGACCGCACTGCCCCCGCCACGGGCGGGTAGACCCCTCCCATCCCGGACAGACCGACAGACTCATCCTGGATGGAGCGAGCTCTTCCCCCCAGCCTGTCACAGGCAGGCAGATCCCCAGCCCCTTACGGACTGACCTTCTCCCACCTGTGACAAATAAGCATCTCCCTCACCCTGGACAGACGTCCTGCCTGCCACCCGTGACACACAGACAGACTCCCACCCTGGATGGACTGACCTTTTCCCATCCATCACAGACAGATAGACCCTGCCCTTGTCAGACCTCCCAGACAGATGGACACCTTCTAGGAAGAGAAGTTTGGGGCAGCCTTTGCATCTTCTGTCTTTCCTACAGACAGAACCACAGAGATTGGGCAGCTGATCAGCTCCTACCTGGGGAGGGAGAAGAACCTGGAGGACCACACCATTCACCTGCTCTTCTCTGCCAACCGCTGGGAACATGTGTAAAGATGATGTTTGTTCAGTTCTAAGAGAAAGATGTGTGATGTTGAATCCCATGGGGTTTGAGCTTGCAGTGGATACGGAAAGTACAAGAATGTGATTCTGTTCAGACAGGAAAACAGGCTGGAAATGGTGTCTTAAGGACTCTTGCAGCTTTGGATTTAATCACAGAATGATTTCGGCTGGAAGGAACGTTAAAGCCCATCCAGTTCCACCCCTCCGCCATGGGCAGGGACACCTTCCACTGTCCCAGGTTGCTCCAAGCCCTGTCCAACCTGGCCTTGGACACTTCCAGGGATGGGGCAGCCACAGCTTCTCTGGGCAACTTGTACCAGGCCTAACCACCCTCACAGGGAAAAATTTCTTCCCAATATCCCTACCTAACCCTGCCCTTGTAATCTTAGATCAGATCCCACAGTTTGGGTTCTTTTTAATTATTGGTACCCTATTTTCAAGTCCTTTGCTATACTGGATTAAAAACTTGGGGAGCTGAGACAAAACCAGCTTAGACTGTGAATTTACTCTCTTTCCTGCTTTGCCAGGCAATCCCTGTGAATGACAGTGCTTAAGAAATTGTTCCCAAATTTCCCATATAGCCAAAGCCTACGTTCAGCCATAATTGGCTGTCCTTGCTTTAGTCACAGAGTCTGTGTGTGGACATGGAGAAATGAGTGTTGGCTGTTGTTTATACCTGGAAATACACATTTCAAAATGTTCTCATTTTACAGAAGAGCTTTGCTGGCTCTGCTGTAGTGGCAGTGCCAATTTAGCTGGGAGAGCAGAAGGCAGGTAAGTGAGCTCTAAGAACTGTCATGAATAAAGGTGGCAGAGCATATCACAAAATCTATTGCACTACCTAAAAAGGGAAGAGGACTAAGCTGTCCTCAATTTAGTTCATCTGTGATCTTGCCTAAGCCCTGGAGCTGCCTAGAGCAGTGCCCAGTGCTTGGCACCCTGAGTTTGGGTGTCATGAAAGGGTATTTGATCAATGCTTGGTGAAGAATACAAAAAGCTCTTCACGTGCCATCTGCATCACAGCTGCCCCTGCCAGAGATCTCCCTTAATGATGACATACTTGGAGTTTTAGATGAACTCCTTTCATTTCTGTCACTATAAAGGAGTGCAACTTTATTATTTTATCTTCCACATGGTTTCAGACCGATGATGAAAGAGAAACTCCATCAAGGGATCACGGTCGTGGTTGACAGATATGCCTTCTCTGGAGTGGCCTTCACAAGTGCCAAAGAGGTGAGTGAAACCTGCAGCAGCCCCTGCCCCTCTCTGTTTGGGGAAGCAGCTTCAGGTAGAGGCTGTTGGTGTGAATGGCCCAGGGGCCATTCTGCGAAATGAGGATTGGAAATGAGGGATGGAAGTTTCAGCTCAGATATTAACATGGGTCTACCCTTCCCCACAACAAGCAGAGAAATTTATTTGGTGACTTTTTGTAAATCTGGACAGACTGCTGGACTGTAGGCTGACCTGTGTGACTCTGGAGAATGATTCTGGGTATTAATAAAGACTCTCTACTTGCTCAGGCTGCTGGCACATGAATTTGCCGAACAGAACCACATACATTAGAAGGGACCTGTGGAATTCATGAAGCCCAGCCTCCAGCAGGGCTGGCATAAGCATGCTGCTTGGGCCTACATCCAGCCAAGGTTTGAGCATCTTCAGGGATGTATATCCATTCCTTTCTGGGTTCTTCTCTGCTCACTTTAAGAGTAAAAGGGATTTTCTTCATTTAGCCTGAGTTTCTGGCATTCCCACTTGTGCCTGTTGGCCTGTCCCTGCTTTCAGAGCAAATCAGCTCTGTCAGCCTCCCTTTGAGCCATTCTGCACAGACACTCCTGTCCCACTCCATCAGATGTGTCCCGTTCCTGCTTGTCTTGGGTTACACTTCAGGATGTGACCAGGGGTGTGTATTCTGTCACCATCTGTTGAGACCAGGTGGGGCAGTGACCCTTGAGGAAGGGATCCAACAGCTGAGAGAAGTGGCAGTGCTGGAGGTGCTCTTTGCGGGGCATGGACAGCATGACAATGACCCTGACAAGGTCAGGTGCACAGGGCAGATGTGGAATCTGGCAAACCTAGGGCCAGCTCAATATACCCCCTTTATTGCAACAATTAACTGAGAGACACTGGGTTCTGTTGCTAACAAGCTTAGAAATTTTGAGAGCATGATCAGTGGCCTGATGCAGGCTCATGTCTCTGCCATAGTCAAGAGCCTTCAAGAGATGAGGAAGATCAATGCAGCACCAGTGCAAGTCACAGGGCCCAAAGTCAGAGCCCAGCATCCCCCAGCAAGGGAGACCATGGGGAAGATATGGGAAAGTGGGATGGGAAACCCACTTCTGTCCTGGAAGCACGGGTGCATCAACTCAGGGAAGGGAACCGAGGGAGCTCCACTAAGGTGAAGGTAGCCTCAGCCTCCCATGACCAAGGTGCAGGGTATTACAGAAGGGAGGATGATCTGTTGGATCCACTTGAAGGAGCCTCCACTATGTATGCCTAGGAAAGAAATAATAACCAGAGCTAGAGGGGCCCTACCTCTAGCCAGGGAGAGGCATGGGAAAACTGGGTCTTTTGGATGATGTGGATCTGATGGCCTGTCATATCGGAGCCACAGGAACACAGAGCATTGGTTGACACTGGTTCACAGTGTACATTAATACCATCAGGACATGTCGGGAAGGAACCTGTTTCAATTGCTGGGGTTACAGGGGGATCTCAGGAATTGACTTTGCTGGAGGCTGAGGTGAGCCTGACTGGGAAAGAGTGGCAGAAACATCCAATTGTGACTGGCCCAGAGGCACCATGTATCCTAGGCATAGACTTCCTCAGGAACGGCTATTACAGAGACCCAAAGGGACTCAGGTGGGTTTCTGGAATAGCTGCTGTGGCAGCAGAGGGCATTAAGCAGTTGAACACCCTGCCTGGGCTATCAGAAAACCCATCTGCAGTGGGACTCCTGAAGTACCAATTGCTACCTCAACAGTGCACCGCCGGCAGTACCGGGCGAATCGAGATGCCGTGATCCCCATCCTCAGGATGATCCATGAGCTGGAGAGCCAAGGGGTGGTCAGCAAAACCCACTCACCCTTCAACAGCCCCATCTGGGAGAATAGAGATTGAATGTGGACTATCGTGCATTGAATGAAGTGACTCCACTGCTGAGCACTGCCATGCCGGATCTGCAGCATGAGCTGGAGTCCAAGGCAGCAAAGTGGTACACTACCAGCTTTGTGATGTTTGGGAGCAGCATTCTTTTGGACTGAGCAAGTTTTGGAGTGGTATTGGCTGTGTAGAGGCTCAGAACGTGGCTTGGTAGAGTTCAGATGGGATCTGCAGAAGAGGCATGAAAAGCTTCCACTCTCTTCAACTTAAATAGGCACAAGAGGTGCTGAACACGTGACAAAACCTGACTCACCCCCAAATGACCAGGACTGAATTCCCACATGTTAAGCTGGGGTATCACCTTTTCAGTTTGTAGCCTGTCCTGACTATTTTAGGTTGCAATTCCTGCAACCGTCCTTAGCTGTTCCTTTCCCACCTCACCCTCCAGCCAACCTGCTGCTTTCTTGTCTTTGTGTCTGTCTCACCTCAAACTCAGTTGTCTTTGCCTGGGACAGAACTTCTGCCTGGACTGGTGCAAACAGCCTGATGTTGGACTCCCAAAGCCAGACCTGATCCTGTTCCTTCAGTTAAGCCCAGAAGAAGCAGCAGAACGAGGGAACTTTGGACATGAGCGTTATGAGACCAGCTCCTTCCAAGAGAAAGTTCTCCAGTCCTTCTGTTGCCTAATGGAGGACAAGACCCTAAACTGGAAGGTGAGGAATTAACTCTAATGGGCTTCTTGTGGACTGGGGTGGCTGGAGTCTCTAGTGAGAGCTCCCAGATTTTGCCTGTCACATGCCTGTGCTGCCCCTTCCCACTTCTGCTCAGTGGGATACGTTGGGGACCAGCCAAGGGCGCTGTGAGATGTGGCACAGAGGGCACTTCCCTGTTCAGGAGAGCCTGGTCAGCTCTTTGTGACTGCCAGCAAACAACATGCTGCAGCATTTTCTTCTGTTTCCCTTCACCCACTCTCACATCTGCTTCTTAAATGTCTATTCCTACATACATTGATTTCTCCCAAATCCACTCCAGAAACTGCAGAGAGGAGGTGTAGTTATGTATCCTGTATTTTTGTTGTCTTGGAAACAGACAGTGGATGCTTCAAAGAGCATTGAAGACTTGCACAGAGAAATCAAGTCCATTGCAGAGGAAACTATGCAGGAGGTTCAGAATAAACCTTTGGAAGAACTCTGGAAATGAAACTTCATACCAGTTAAAAGAGGAAGATCAAGAATAAGGGAAAGGTCACTTCTTGGATCTTCTGTGTTTGGATGACTGTGACATCCCAGCAGCTACAGCTTAGATCCTATGTATTCTTTTGGGTCCAACATGCTGCTGATGTTTTTTTTTATTATCTGCACCTCCCTTCCATCCTGCATAGTTGCGTCTGCATTTTTAAAATGAGTATGCCATAAGCCTTTATCAAATTCCTTGTCAAAACCTCCCTCTCCCAAGCAAGAGCACCTGTTCCAGCTACACTCCTGGAGTGCAGATGTGGGTATGGAGACCAGGGCCAACCCTGGACACAGACACAGTTCTTGTTTTTAGGGAATTGCCATGTTTCTGATCATTTTTCTTCTCTAATAAATGCATCCCCCCATGTTCAAACCAGTTTGTAGAGGATTTGCTAATAAACTATTCTTTTAAGCATTTTTTTCCCCAGAATGATCATTTATCTTCTAGAAGGATATATGGGAGGTGAAAGTGCTGCAGTTCAGGCACTAAATCCAAGGAAAGCTGTTTGCTGGAACTATGGAAAAAAGAAGAGGTGAATTCAAGCCTTCTTCCCAGCTGTGCAGTGCTGGACAGCTGGAAGCAGGTAAGAGCCTGAAATAGATGGATGAGCTCATAGCAAAGCCAGTTTGGAGGACAAGTTGCACATAAATTATTTTAAACTGGCCAAGATGAGAGGAATAATCATTTGTGGCTCCTGCACACACCCCAGTGCAGTTTGAAACCAGACCAACTATGAACCACCTAAATCACCAGAACAAACTGGAATGTTAATTATTTTCAAGGGACACTGAGAAATGGGATGGCCAGGAGAGTTCAGGTCTCTTCTGGATGTTTAACTCACCTTCCAGTAGGGTGGACTCCTCTGATCTCCACAGATTAAAGCCTCTCAGAGAGGCAAATGGAACTGATTCACGAGCAGGGAGAGGAAGCTAAGTATTGAAACCAAAATTGTTAATACAAGCATCAGCTACAACAGCAAAAGCTGCTGCCTTCCCTCCACAGCTGGCCAGCACTTGGCAGCCAGACACTCCTGGTGAAGGAGGTGAGTAACACTGGGACAAGAAAACACACTAAAAAGTCAGAAATACCTGTTAAAGATCTAAGATGAGCTTAGCTCTGTTACTAGGGTTGTGTCAACACTGAGGTAAAATCTTGTCTGACAGAACCATCCTTAAACATAAAACCATGAACGTGAAATAAACAGTAGAATCATAGACTGATTTGGGTTGGAAAGGGATCTTGGGAATCATCTTTTTCCATGGGCAGAGACACCTTCCACTATCCCAGGTTGCTTTCAAGCCCTGTCCAGCCTGGCCTTGGACACTTCCAGGGCTGTGGCAGCCAAAGCTGCTCTGGGCAACCTGTGCCCAGGGCCTTCCCACCCTCTGAGTGAAGAATTCCTTCCCATATATCCCATCTGACCTCTGGCAATGGGAAGCCATTTTCCCCTGTCCTGTCCCTCCAGGCCCTTGTCCAAAGTCCTTCTCCAGCTCTCTTGGAGCCCCTCTACACCCTGGACTCTTCTGTGTACTGCATACTACCCACCACCACCTTCAATGTGTGCAAGGACATCAGGACAGGCAAAGATTTTAGATCTGTTTATTCAGATAGAAATTGAAAGCAGATGAATGGAGCACAGCCCCACTTCCTCTGCTGCCTCTTCCCCTGGCTACAAGAGAGAAGAGGAGAAGCAGGCAGAAAGCAGCAAATAATAATTTAGTGACAGAAGCATTGTGGTTCCCAGTTCAAACCTCTGCTTTCAGGTATCACAGGGACAGTTAGAGCATCAGTAGGTCAGACATGGGGGAAACAGGTCATTTCTAGCCTGGTGCCACCACCCTTGGGCACACCACCACCATCTGACAGGTTCCAAACCCGAATGCACAAACCAAAGCTTTGTAAACAGGGTTGTAGTGTGCAGCACGCACCAAGGAAACTATGGCAGCAACTTCCCTTGCAGTGTGCATGGAGACAGCTCTCCTCCACGGGTTACCTTTCTGTGGAGAAGGGCCCTAGGCAGAGCTACCATCTTAAAGTAGCTAAAGATTTCCAGTATATTTGGACCTTCTCAAGGCATTCTGCCCCTCTTGGGATGGTTACCTGACAGGGGTTTTTCTAGGTTCTCCTACAGCACCTCTGGGCACACTCCACAGGGAGGGGAGCTGGCAGAGGCAAGGTACTGACACAGCCTGGAAACCTACTCGACCTTCAGGCACCTCTTCTGCTTTGGAAAGGGAATGTCTGACAGGAGTAGCTGGAGGAAGTGCTGACCAACCCACCCAGGGCACCTCAAGAGGTTTTAGACCTTGGGTTTTTGGCAGGACAACATCACTCCCTATTCGCTATGCCAGCACACTGGGGGACAGGCAGAAGAAGCCTGGCACATGCCTGGCAGATCCTGGTGCCCTGTTCAGCTCTCCCAGCTCTGTTCCAGGGCTGTGGAATTCAGTTTTCTGTTCAAAGCAGCTTTCCTGAAGGTAATTGCTGTAGAGATTATTCCATTGTAGAAGCACATGGTTTGACTCACTGAGCAGCACAAACATTCTCTATTCTTCCATTCCTCTGTTATTTAAACTGGGATTGAGATGCTCCCCAGCAGAACAGCACTGCTCCACACTTCACTTATGGAATTCCCAGTCACTTCGAAGTTCCCTCAATTGCCTTTCCATAGTGTGTGAACAGGAGAGGTAGTGCTGAGTGTCCTGCAGAGCATGAACAGTTGTACCGTAGGGACCTGCACTCCGGAGGCTTCACAGCTGTCTGTGGGATGTGGCTGCTGTTCCCTGGCATTGTGAGCTGCAGTCCAGGTTGGCCAGTGAGAAGGGAAGCTGCTAAAGGCATTAACTGGACGTTTCTCCTGCTAAATGACAGGTGGGCTCTACTTTAAGCTTCAGAGGGGAGTCCCCATGGAAGGATTCAGCGCTCTAACGATTTCCGTGCCTTCCCCAGAAGGCCCAGCTGACCTGCTGATGTAACAGATAGGCTTTGAACTCCTAAGCACGACTGCATCCACTTCCAGCAACTGTTTGCTGCTGAGAAATTCCAACTGCAGCCAGGAAGGCTGTAACACCTTCTGGGTTCTTCATCCCACTGCAGACACTGCACACTCCGCTCCGAGGCTGCACGGAATGCCAGGATGGACGGGAGGCAGGGATGGCAGCAAGCGCCTATGAAAACCGGTAGCCCCAGGCTCTCGAAGGAGCTTCCCTCCCCCCTTCTCCCCACACATACACAAATTTGCAGAGTCAGTTTCCTATTTGTTTTCAAAGGGACAGGATTTCAAAGTCTTCATCTTCCGAGTCAAAGAACCTTTCCAATCTGTCGGCATCAGAGGAGTCTGGAAAAGAAGAAAGCGCTGCCTCAGTGGGATGCTGTTACTGTCATTGAGACCAGCAGCTGAGCGCATCACAATTTGAGTGCCAAGTGCCCACGAGTTCCAAGACTCAGGGACAAACCCAAGTGAGGGCTCTAAGGAGGGTTAAGAACATGTCAGGGGTATGGAAAATGCACTGGAGAGAATTACATGGAGCACAGAAGCACATCACAGAAACACATTTCTGCTGCCACTGTTGTGTACAACCTTCCTGGGCCCCAGCTCTACATTGGCAGGAGACTGTTCTGCCTCAAGAGGCTCAATGCAGAACTTGCTCAGGTCTGAACTAATACCCATGAAGATTTCTGTCCCAAATAAGAGATACATTTACCCCTATGTATTAGAGAATAGTTTCTACTATAGTTGTTTTTGGTGCAACTGTTAGGGAACGAAGTTACAACACACACTCTCCTAAAAGCAATTAGTACAGTTCACTTTGTGAGGAAAGGTAATGTTAGTAGATCCCACCTCCCTACCCTTCCAACTGTATGGTGAAAAAAGAGCTCACACTTAAAGGGGAAGGAAGCAACTTTAGCACAGGGGGAATAAGGGAGAAACCTTTGTTAGTTCAGGCTGGACAGAATCCAAGAATGGTTTGAGTTGGAGGGGACCTTAAAGATCATCCAGTCCTGCCCCCCTGCCATGGGCAGGGACACTTTCCACTATCCCAGGCTGCTCCAAGCCCTGTCCAACCTGGCCTTGGACATTTCCAGGGATGGGGCAGCCACAGCTTCTCTGGGCACCCTGTGCCACAGCCTCACCTCCCTCACAGGGAGAAGTTCCTTCCCAATATCCCTGCCCTCTGGCAGTGGGAAGCCATGCCCACTTATCCTGTCACTGTGTGCTCTCTCCAACTTTCTTGGAACCCCTTTAGATCCTGAAAGGGGCTCAAAGTTCAATTACTCCTTCTAGTGAGAGACAGAACTAACAGAAATGGCCTTGGCAGATGGGAGAGGCTCTACAAGCCAGGGAAGAGGGAGGTCAAGTAGTCCATTACAGAGACATTTTTAAGAGTAGGAAAGACAACATTAAGGACAATTTAAGACAGGCAAGGATCAATTGACAGTTGAAGGGAATTGAGCACTCTTAACAGCAAAGGACAGTGTGATAATGAAAGCTTTTAAGGAAGGAGGGCAGATGGAGGGAGGGACCAGAAGTACAGGTTGCCAGGAGGCCACCCAATGCCTGGTGACAGGGTAGGCTTGCCCAGCCAATGGCTTTATCTCCTGCAATGTTTGCTCATGTTATTGATGTGATAAGCAGAGCCTGACAGGCAAGATTAGTGCCCAGCACTTGTCCTTTTTCCCACTGGTAGTGGTGCATGCCAGGAAAGAGTGTCTAATGCTGGAACAGTGTGACCAGCCCTGTCTTGGAGCGTTTTCATTACCAACAAACTCAGTTTTTAGCCTTTTCACTGGACACTTTTGATTCCTCCAAGCATCCCTTCAGAAACCACAGAGTCACACTACCACATCAGCCTCTCAGCTCGTTTGTTCTTCTGCTCAGTCACCATCCCCATTCATAGATCATTCTAAAAATCATCCTGACACACTGTGGCACCTGCAAACCTCTAGCTGAAAGCCAAAGTACTACATCAATTGACCCAAGAACTCCAGGTTAAATTCCAGGTGGAACAGGAACATACTAGAAGTCATCACGTGATTCCACATGATTTCCAGAAACCCAAAGGGACGGGGTCACCCTCAGCTCTCCCTCCCTGCATGGCCTCACCTGGTGTGAGATTGAGGACGTCAGGGTTGGAGAAGTGTGAGGGCTGGCGTTCCACCAGCTC